CTGATTTGTCACTGCTGTTCCTCACCAGATTCAGGTTTCGAAGCGTCCTTGATCTCGTCCCCAGCATCATCCTGATAGCAAAAGAAATAAACACAAAAATGCAGAATTATAAGTAACATGGCATCTTATACATGAATGTTTTAAGGAACTAATCCAAATTCAATCCATATTTAATGTGATCGTGTAAGAAAACATTATGAACAAATAATGTCTTAGAAGCGTTGGTTTATGACAAGGATTGGAGTATCTGAACAATTCTCTCGTTCTAAAAGAACTAATCTACTCCTCAAAAACACAAATGTTGAGAGTTAAAATGGAATAGAACAAACGTAATCTATTAAAAGTTGTATGCTTTGCCTTAAAATGGAATAATTTCGTGGCAGCGCATGAAATGCAGGGAAATAAGAGTTTATATGAACGAGGGAATCTCAGGGGAGATGGAGTAAGAACTTGATGCAGAAAATTTGTGGAGGTTTTGGGATATACCGTTATATCAGAAGTCCAAAGAGTCAGATTGTCTCGAAGAAGCTGCATGATCAATGTGCTGTCCTTGTACGATTCCTCACCCAATGTGTCTAGCTCAACAATGGCTTCATCGAAAGCCTGAAGACAAGCATTATAGATATGTGAGTCGAGCAAGTTTATAAACGAAAACAGCAGACTGATGATAAATGGCAGAGAGAGAGAGTATAAATACAAAATGCACTGATCACCAAAATAATAATAAGTGGAACAAAAATAAGATAGAATGACAAGGAAAATAAAAAACACCATTGGCTTGTGTTTTTACTAGTGTGTGTGTACATTCAGAGATATGACATGCTCTCAAGCAAAGTTGTATCATATTGTATCAATAGATAAGACGTCTATAATCAGATCAACTGTCATATTCTTAATCTTCTGAATATCAACTGATTGGCATAACACAGACAACATGCACTGACGACAAGATTATTAGCGAGCAGACAAACATGATAAATGCAAGTAAAGGCTTCAACTTTTATCAAAATTTACTAAAAATCTGATTTTAATCTGTACTAAGCAGGGGCTTAATGAAATATCTAATTGAAAAGTCATGATGCCCCGATCAAAATTAATTATCGATTTTAACTTGAAACTTATCAAATTTTTGTAACTGAATCAAACATGATTTAGTCCTAATTCTATACTCTTATTAACTTGGGTATATTGAGCTCCTTTGACGAGGACTAAAATTAAGATTTTAATAAGTCAAAGTTAATATTTAATTTTAATGACACATTTTATGAGACCACAACTTCTTAATTACACATTTCATCAACTTTTATCAAAATTTACTGAAAAACTATTTTAATTCCCACCGAACATGGGCTAAAAATACCAGTTTACTAAAATTACATGGCATTTTACAGAATCTAAAATACATTGAGTTCATCGCCAATTTTAGTCAAGTAAGACGAAGTTTGGGAGTGCTTTTAATTGATTATATATATTAAGCAAATCACAATCCAATACGCAAACAATAATGAAACTTCATGACGCCGTTCAACAACATAATCGGAATCATCATCAAGATATGATAAAGCTGCTCATTCAATCTAAGGATTTATCAAGCAAAATTCATTATATTCTCAAAAAAAAAATCCTTTAATAAATTTTTTTGTAGATTACACTGCAAAAGGCCCAAAAAAAAAAAGAGAAGAAAATAGCTATAAATTTTGCAGTATTGTTTGGTCGATTCTTCCAGTAGAAAGCCCAGAGGAATTTCTTTAGAAAAAGGTTACATTGAAGCCTCCCCACGGCCCCACCTATATAATAAAAAACAACATTAAAAAAATCACAGTAAAGGCTTGTTTGAGGCCCTTTTTTATTTTTATTTTTTTCAAAAAATACATTTTGCATTAATAGTGTTATGATGAAGAATGTGTAGTTAAAAAATAAGAAAAAATTTTGAATTTGCGTGTAATATTATTTTATTAAAGAATATGTGATCGAAATGATTCAAATCGCCGTTCAAAAATTCATTTTGACGAAAAAATAGGGCTCAAACAAGGACTATATTATGTGAAACATAGTTTGTGCAAGAGTCAAGTTCAAATAATAAGGAAAACCACTGAAAATAATTACATGATGTACCATT